ACAAGCTTTCAAGAGGGAGATTAGTTTCAGAGGGTGTAGGGGAAGGTAGAATCTCCACTGAGTGGTTTCCAACCTGTCTAGACAAGGCTGTGATTCAATAGTGAATAACTGCTATCAGGACTGACTGTAAATGTTGCAAATGTAAAGGTAAACGTTTTGTAACATAAAGAGGGAAATGGTTGATCTTGCAGTCCAGGAGCGAAGGACTCTGGGACCATTAAGGAAGAAGAGTGGAGTATAGGACCCTATCCAAAGAAGCAGAGACACCAGAAATGGAAGCAGAGAAAATGACATGGAGAGGCAAAGTGGCTGGGTACTCAAGACTCAAGGAAAGAGAGGGGCTGCGTGCTGGCAGTCGGGGGAATGGCATGCAGGGTATACCCTTTGGTTGTTTGAATGGTTATATATTCCAGAGTGCTTCAGTGTACATTCAAAAAAAAAGAGGGAATGGAAGCAAATGCTGTTGAATGATGATGCATTGATGCATGGAGGGGACTGTAATCATTGCAATGAAATGACAGGATGAATGTAAAGCTGATGCTCTCCCATGTAAACTATCACTCAATTCACAATAAAAACTTGAGGAAAAAAAAAAAAAATCCAACACCCTTAACTGGTGAAAACCCTAACTGCCTCCGTGAACATCCCTGTTTCCTTCTACCAGGAGACCAGAAGAACTGGGTGACGCCTTGCTGCCACTGTTGAACATTTTGATTAGTGGGTCCACAGAATTTTGGTCAAAAGGAAGAAACAGCAGAAAATAATTTCAGATTCACTCCAGTCATGAAGGCTAGAGGAACTCCTGAAACTACTGTCCTGAGATTACCTTTAAACCTTAAGCCAAAAATATTCCATAATGTCTTCTTAAAACCAAATAATAGTTTAGCTAAACTAGTAAAAAGGTCTGCATTGAGCATTATGGTCTTTTAAGAACTATCCATATGGGATCAAATTGGCAACAGCAACTCAAAAAATTAGACAGGAACGTTAGGGGGCAATGAGTTTCCACTCAAAGGGGAGGAACAATTCAGAAGGGTGAGAATTGTTACACAATTTGAAAAATGTAATCCATGTCACTGAGTTATACACCTAGAAACTGCTGAATTGTTATGTTTTGCTGTGTATATTCTCAACAAAATATATTAAACTATGTATTTTAAAAGACAATTTATAAAAAACAATATGTAAGAAAACAGTAGTTACGGAAACAATACTACAGAACATTGTGACATCATCAAATGTAATTCTGTAAAGACTAGGTAAAATTAGAAAAATGCTCTTAATGTGACATCAGAAAAGGTTATGAAATCATATTGACGAGATTAAAATTTAAAACCTGAACACACAAAAAGGTTAAAATTAAGTATGTTGCTGTTGTAAGTGCCACCAAATCAGTTCCAACTCAAAGCAACCCTGTATAAGGTTGTGGAAGAGCGGTTGTTGAGTTTGTACCACCAACCTTGCAGTTCAAATTACCTTGTGGTCGAGTGCTTATCCTATAGCACCACACCAGGACTCCAAAATTAAATATAGCAAATTATTAATTACTTTTATATTTTAGTGGTAGAACTAGGGGAATTATTTTTTTTAATAGTTCAATAAGCATAGGGTACCATGTTCTAAGCAATGCTAAACAAGGTACCTGCTCTGCCCTTGAGAAAACTAAAATCTATACACTCTCCAGGGAATCCCATTACAACAATAAAAACAAAATAGAACAGGTATCATTCTCATCTGACAAATGGGAAAAGGGACCTGTCCTTAGTTATAAGAGCAATTAATAACTGAACCAGAACTAAAATGTAGACTTCCTTTTATTTTTACTTTTCAATGTTTCAAATGATTTGCCACAACCATCTAATGCTTTAAAGTGGCACCGCACGATAAACGCTGGACCAAAAGGTCAATCTGAACTTCAAGGTCGATGCTTCAAACTCACCATTCACTCCTTGGAAACCCTATACAGGGATGCTATGGGTAGTCAGAAATGCACTCTTTCTTTCCTTGCTTTTCTTTCTTGGTGGTAGCAGGTCCCTCTGAACTCAACATGCCTTTTAAAATCTTTTTTGTCTCAAAAGAGATTGGCTCAAGATACAATCTAATCCTGTAGATTGCATCCAGTCTCATTAACATTATATGAGGATTTACAACACATAGGATAATTACATCATACCATGGCCAATCACATCAGATCACATCATGGAAGAAGTGAGTACATATTAGTTCTCATCATGGGAAATCCTTAACTGCTAAACCATTGAGAACTTTCACTGCTATAAACTGCTAAACCACTGAGAATTCATTCCAGCTAAGTTGACACAAAACCTTAACTATTACAACTATGCACCTCATTTACTTGCCTGATACAAGTTTCTGCTCAAGTGTAAATTCACTTAAAAGTGCCAAGTTCAGGCTGCTGTTATTTCTTGCTACTGGCCAGCCCAAGTCATGGTCTAAAGTTTTTTTAAAAGTAGTGAACCACTTACTACTGAAAGTTACAAAAGAGATACAAAAAAGAAAGCTGGGTGGAGAAGGCAAAGATGGGAGAAGGTGTTGAAAGGTATCCTACAATGCCACACCAAATATCAGCTGCTTTTATTATATTTACTTGATATGGCTTTTTTATCCATGTCTTCTTAACACCCAAGTGACCATGCAAATAAGGTATACAAGGCTCTAAGGCTGGGATTATTTTGCCACCAGCTAGGTTTAAAAGGACTCATACAGAAGCAAGAATGGAAGATCCCAGAAATATCAAGAAGGAAAAAGAGAATGAGTAGAGTTTGAGACCCCTTTCTAAAAAAGTGGCAACAGCAGAGGTGCTGGCATGGAAAGACAGAGCAGCTTCAGGCTCTAGGCCCATGGACTGGGGCAGAGACCAAAGAACCATGTGGCTGAAAAGCCAAAAACAAGGGCAAGGCATGTCTCCAGTACAGCAGAAGCGGCATTCTGACTGGAGAACTGACACATCCTGAGTTGTTTTTTTGATTCTGAATTGTACCCTATTCACCTCCCTAAGGAACCCCATAATTTTGAGTATTGTTATGAGTTCTATGTGGACTTTGCAATAGATTATTGATTATATGAATTATATGAAACAGAGAGTGTTGTGGGAGAGATGTTGTGTCAGAATAGGGTAAAGAAAGTTGTAGGGTGGAAGCATGTCTGACCTCTGCTTCATAGCGGAGATTAAGAGTTTGATTCTTTTTCTCTCTGTGAAGCCAGGAGAAGTCAGACATGGTTCTGACATGGCTTTAGCACCATGAGATCACAGTTAGCAGAACCAGTTAATAAATGTGTAGCCCTGACAGGATCTGTGGAAAAAGACTCATCACCTCTGCAGTGTGCTTCCCAGAAATGCATTATCTCAATCTAATAATGGAAAACATCAGACAAACCCAAACTGAAGGATGTGCTACAAAACATCTGATAAGTAATCTTTAAAACTGTCAAAGTTATAAGAAATAAGCAACTGACAGAAATTATGGAGACATGACAACTAAACTTAACATGGGATCCTGAAATGGATCCTGGAACATAAAAGGGTACTAGCAGAATAACCAATGAAATCTGAGTAAATCTGTAATTCATTAGCAGTTAACAGCAGCTTCATTAATAGTATTCTACCAACATTAATTTCTTAATTTTGACAACTGCACTATGTTTATAGTACTATGGTTATAGACGATGTTAGCTAGCATTAGAGAAAATTAATGAAACCCATATGGGAACCCTTTATACTACTTCTGTAGCTTGTATAAGTCTAAATTTCATTCAGAACTAAAATGAAATGGTTTTTTAAAAAAAACTAAAAGATTTTTTTTTTTAATTCTAGGTGAAGAAAACTATTAGCTGCAATTCTCGCTCTCTAACCTAATGCTGTTGTTATTAAGTGCTGTCAAGTTGGTTCTGACTCATAGTGACCCTATATAGAGTTTTCCAAGGAATAGTTGGTGGGTTTGAACTGCCAACCTTGCGGTTCATAGTCCAGTTCTGATCCTACAGTACCACACCAAAACTCTTTAAGTTAATACTATATGTAATTTATAAGTAAATTACATATAGAATTTACACATAAACTACGCTGTTGTTGTTACTAAGTGCTGTCGAGTTGGTTCTGACTCATATAACCCTTATAGGGCTTCCAAGGAGCAGCTGGTGGGTTTGAATTGTCTACCCTGAAATAAATTACATACAGTATTTGTAAATAAACCATATACATTTATATAACTTCTATATGTAACCCTATACAGAACCACTATGAGTAAGAACCGACTCAACGCCCTAACAACAGACAGACAGACAGACAGACACAGTACGGTGGTTTGTATAATAAACACTGGCCTGCAAGACACAAGGTCAGCGGTTAAAGACCACCAGCCACTCTGTGGGAGGAAAAAGGAGGTTTTCTGCTCCAGCAAAGGTTTATAGTCTCGGAAACTCTATACAGAATCACTGAGTCAGTACCAATTCAAAAGCACTTATTATCTATTTGTTGTTATTGTTGTTAAGTGCTGTCAGGTCAATTCTGACCCATAGTGACCCTATACAGGGTTTCCAAGGAGCAACAGCTAAATTATATGTAATTTATATACAAGTGGCCTCAAAAAGTTCGTAGGAAAAGTTCATTATCTTTTAATTCCAGCTTTCTAGAAACCCTTTGAAGCCTCCTTGTATATTTTAGTATATGTGTATGTATATACTTATTTACTTAAATCCACTTATCTAAACTGTTGTTTCCTAACAAATGTTACATTATCTCTGCTCTGCTCTTTAGGCCACGTCTATCACAACATATAAGCTCTAAAAAATAAGTTTTATCAAAAATAAATGTATTCACCTCAATTAAGCTTTTAATTTTCTTCTATGGATCCACAAATGGCAACTAATCAGAATTTCATCTTCTAATTACATGAACTTCCACAAAGCTTTACTTTCAATAGAAGTCAATATTGCTATTGCTAATTGAATAAACATAATGATTTAAATATAGTCCTTACCTTCCAACCACTGCCAGCCTCTCTATAATATGGGAAGTTATCACAAATCCACTGGTATATCTCACTTAGAGTCATTTTCTTTTTGGGTGAGCTATTAATTGCAAAGGTGATGAGGCTGGCATAACTGTATGGAGGTTTTCCATCTTTGTGCTGTTGGACTTCCTCCTGGTCCAGGGTTGTATTTGGGTCAAGGAGTGCATTCTTCTTGGAAATCCCCGTTCCGTGGGCATTTTGTGTAGTATCAGATTTCTGGATGGCTGCTCTCATGGTAAGCTGTGGTAACCAGTCCATAGATGTTAGGCTGCTCTCCAGTTCAGATGTCATCCTGAAGGTAAATAGACTCCTTAGTCAGTATCAAGGAAAGAAACCCTGTTTCTCAAAATATCCAATATTCCCAAATCTAGGAGTTCCAAAGTGAGGGAAAGTCTGAGTTAAATCTGGAGGGAAAAGATTGTGTATGTTAATAACCAAATCAGTATTTAAGCGATCAACCTTTCCAATCTTTTTTCTTAATATTTTTTCTCTCCAAAATATAGCCTTGGTTTTAATATATTTAAGACACAGTACAAAATAAATAAGCTGACTGATGCCAAACTTTCTGGAAAAGATGGTTTATCTCTTTAAATAAGGTGACAAGATACACAGCTCTTTACTCACAACACAAACCAAAACCCATGACACTGATTCTAATTTAAACCAACCCTATGCTGTTGCTGTTAAGTGCCGTCGAGTCGGTTCCAACTCTTAGTGACTCTGTATAGGGTTTTCAAGGAGTGACTCATAAATTTGAACTGACAACTTTGTGGCTCAAACTAATCTCCTAGTCAAGTGCATTATCCCACAGTGCCAGAGTTAAACTGCCCCATAAGGTTTCCAATGCAGTAAATCTTTATGGAGGCTGACCTCCTCACATTTTTTTCCTCTGGAGCACCTTACAGGTTCAAACCTCCAACCTTCATTTAGCAGATGAGAGCTAAACCAAGGTTCCTTACACCAACACCAAAGGTACTTTAGAAACTTAAGGCTGTACATCTGGCATTTCTTTTATACAAATTTAGGGGAGTCATATAAACAATAGTAAGGTAGAGGCAAGAGGTCAGAGAAGTAATTAGGAAGTGAGCACAGGAATTTGCATAGAGACAAAAAGGAGGTAGGAAGAAGCTGGTAGCCAAGAACAGCAAGTAGACAAGCTAGCTGGAGAAGCTGACCAAAAAGAGGAATGCAAACTCAAGGACACTGATGAGCAAGAGAATAGGAGGATAGGCAGTACCAAGCAATTATGGTTTTTAAAAAAGCAAGTCAAGAAACAAAATTTAGAAAACTAACAAGGATAAGAGATTAAATGACATGAATAGACAGCAAGAAATGAAGCAGTGAATGCTTGAGAACAGATTTGGACAAGCTTACAGTCATCTGGGTTCTGTAATGTTTTTCTCTCCAAGGCTGAAAAATTTAAACTATCACTGCCCAGATAAAGAAAAGTGAAAAGCAAAATCCTACAGGCTAAAGTATGTTCTGGAAAGGGCAGAAGCGGCTTCAAGAATTGAAGATAAAGATATAAAAACATAACTTGACACTTCACACTACTATCCTTCATTAGAGAGTACAAGTCCTTCTATCCTGGAATCAAAGAAGCAGTAATAGTGACCCTAACAAAGATGCAGAAAAGAGTGAAAAACTTCGGAGAGATCAAAATAAAATGAAAAAAATAAAATAAAATAGAAATTCAAAGTACTAAAGTCAAAAGAAAAAAAAAAATCTGGCTAAGAAAATTACATACAGGACTCTCATCCCAAACGGCAGCTGTCAAAAAAGCAAACCTGAGATATATGGTTTAGATCTGAACATCTGGGAGGCAATGCAGACATGGAGTCAGGCCAACCAGATATCAAGTACTGATTCTACCAGTGGAACTACATTAATAGTGAGATTATGAAAATGCTAATTAATCTTTAAATCCCAACTTTCTCATCTGTAAAATGAAAGAATAACACTACAGCAGTTAAAATATTACTTTCGAGGATTAAATGTGGTAACACATATAAAGACTTAAGCGTTTAATGTTAGTTAACAATATTATTCTCAGAGTATCCTGAGAGGGAATACTAATATGTAATATAAAGTAAAGCAGATTAAGTAACAGCAGTTAAAAATTGAAATACTCACTAGATCCTGTCTGCCAGAAAACAAAATTTTTTTCAGAAATTTTGGTCTACAGTTTTATTTTTCTCATTTTTTCAAATTTCCTCCATTTCTATTGTATACAATCCTGTGAAACCTGAACTTTTAATTTCTCTATACAACACCTTCAAAGATTTAAAAAATAACAAAAAAGCTTATTTTACTAGACAGTCTTAACCAGAAATGCTCATTCCCAAAATGAACTAAGTTACAAGAAATTGTGGAGTACGAAGACAGAATAATTTAAGGATTACATAATGTTAAAAGGGTGGGGAAAGTACCCTAGACATTAGAGACTAATCCTTTTAAGTCAAAAATAAAAAACTGAGGATCTTTGAAGTTAAAAAGCTTGCCCAAATTCACACAGGTAGTTAATACTAGAGGTGAAAATAGGACCATATCTCCTGATACCTAAATCCAATAGTTTTGTAATGATAACATCTGTAAAATTAATGAATAATAATAGTGCCTGCCTCACTGAGTGGTTAAGAGTTGGGCTGCTAACTGCAAAGTCAGCAGTTTGAAACTGCCAGCTGCTCTGCGGGAGAAAGATGAGGCTTTCTGCTCCCATAAAGATTTACAGCCTCGGAAACCCTATACAGGGTCACTATGAGTCAGAACAAACTCCATGGCACACCACCACCACCACCTCACTGAGATACAAAATACTCAAAACAATGCCCAACAAACAGTAAATATGCAATAAATGTTAACTACTGGTTTGTCATTGTCACATGCCATAGAGTCAGTTCTGACACATAGCAACTCTGTATAGGATTTCCAAGGCTGTAAGTCTTTGCAGGAGCAGAAAGCCTCATCTTTCTCCCTTGGAGCTCAAACTGGCACCCTTGAGGTTCCCAGTCCAGTGCTTGCTCCCTGGTATTAGTAGTGATAAACGCAGTTGCTGCTAATGTTATTCACAATTCATTCAGTCAACATCGGCTATTATTATGCCATGCTGTCTTCCTATTTGCTTCATTCATATCTCCACTGAGCTTTATTTTGTTCAAATTCCCAAAGCTGCCAGTCATATGCATTTTCAAAGTTAATATAAAAAAGCACATTCCAAATTGAAATATAACTGATATTGCAGATGTCCTTACTGAATCATCTTTACCTTCTCTTCCCTTCCACAGTGCCAGAAATTGAGACTAGCATGAACATACAGTAAGTATTTGATATGTTATAATAGATTTTATTTACAAAAATTAGTAATTACACATCTGTAAAATATATAAGGGAGCTTCAAAAAGTTCATGGAAAAATGGAATTAAAAGACAAAAGGACCCAGAGAGGGAGAGGGGCTGTGTGCTTACAACCGGGAGGCAGGCTTGCAGGGTATACACTTTGGTTGGTTGATGATGCATGGAGGGGATTGTAACCATGGCAATGAAACGATAAACGTAGGATGAATGTAAAAATATAATGTTCTCCCATGTATACTATCACATAATTCACAATAAAACATTTAAAAAAAAAAAAAAAAAGGAAATTTTCCACAACTTTTGAAGCACAAACGAACTATCATAAAATTTGGCTTCCAGACATGAAAAAGAACTGAATGAAAATGCAAGCCTAGACTCTGGCTGCTATAAAGGTTCAGAAAAGGGAGAGGACATCATGCATTGGAGCCTTGACGAGTAGAGAAAGAAGAATTTCAGTTGAATCTTGAAGTAAGTTAGGGGAGAAATAAGATGGAAAGGAAAAGATTCCTGGTCTTCAAAGATATCCTCAGCAAAACTTTGAAACCAATCATAAACATGCCTCTCTCTTATTCCATTTTTGTTCTTATGTTCAGTTATGCAAGAGCACATTTAAAATAAACTATAAAATATACCTCTTAAATTTAAACTCTGAAAAAGTGGCACTTATTGTTTGGTGATGGAGAATATTAAAAGCACCATGGATTGTCAGAAGAACAAACAAATCTATCTTGGAAGTGCAGCCAGACTGTTCAATAAAAGTGAGGATGTCTCTCATACTTTGGCCAAGATATCAAGAAAGACCTGGAAAAGGACATTATGCTTGGTAAAATGGAAGGTCAGCAAAAAAAGAGGACACCCCGCAACAAGACAGACTGATACAGTGGCAGTCACAATGGCTCAAGCATAACAACAACTGTAAGAATGTCACAGGACCAGGCAGTGTTTCGTTCTGTTGTGCACAGGGTCACTATGAGTCGGAACCGACTCAACAGCACCTAACAATAACAAACAACACGTTATGCTTGCAACGTATTCAATTTTATATATTCTTGGTAGTGAGGGAAGAGTACCTGGATGCTAGACTGGATGCATCCATTAAGTGATGCAAACACATTTGTTGTTGTTGTTATCAGGTGCCATCGAGTCGGAACCGACTCATAGCGA